AGACCTTGCTCCAGAGAACAGCCTATCTGGAGGCACTGTCCATAACCCTTTTACCTTCCCTTCATTTTGGAGGTCATTCTAAGGAATCTAGAGGTTTTCTAAACTAAATTGAATATCACTTCGAAGCTTCCTGGTTCATTCCCTACAGATAGATCGAAAATTGGCTATCTAATGAACCAATTAATGGGTAAGGCTTTAACCTGGGCTAATCCCTTATGGGAGAGTGGAAATCCAGTTGCCCGTGATTACAATGTATTCCTAACAGCTTTCAAAACTACTTTTGAGGGAAAAGGGAGAGAAAAGAACGCTGCCAGAGCCCTAATGAGAATAAAACAAGGCAATCGCTCTGTAGCTGATTACGCCATAGAGTTCAGGACATTGGCGTCTGAGGTTGACTGGACCAATAACGGTTTGGTGGCTGCTTTTTCTGAAGGTTTAGCGGAAAATATACAAGACGAGACCACAGCCAGAGATCTTCCAGTTAACCTTAATGACTTTATTGCATACATGATAGACATTGATAACAGGCTCAGAGAGAGAGAGAAAAACAAACAGCGTACTAGACGTTCTAACTTATCCATAGCCCCTCATTTCTCTAACCCAGTGATAATTAGCCATGCTCCACCTCCAGAACCTGAACCCATGCAACTGGGCATTGCTAAACTCACTGAGGCAGAGCGAAAACACAGACGCAACAAGGGGTTGTGTTTGTATTGTGGTAAAAGGGTACATCAAAGGTTTTCATGTCCGGTTCGCCGGAAAACTTGCACACCTAAGGCACGCTCGGGAACCGACCTTAGGTGTGATGTATATGTCCCCTAAATCCTTATAAAAATTACTTTGTCTTGTAAGAAAAGCACTGTACAGTGTGAGACTATGATTGACTCTGGGGCAGCGGATAATTTTCTAGACAAGGAATTCTCTGCCAAACATCTCCTGCCCTTAAGGCAGAAAGATAGACCCATAGCAGTAGAGGCTATTGATGGGAGACCTCTTACCCAGCCTCTCATCACGCACAAAACCCTGCCAATCACTATCTCAGTGGGTATCTTACATTCTGAAGAAATGGTGTTCCAAATTATATCTTCACCTACATGTCCGATAATACTGGGTTTCCCTTGGCTCCAAAAACACAATCCACATCCACAAATTGTGAGTTGGGGTGAGAGAGGCAGAGGTATTTGTTTAAAACAGGTGCAACAACGAATTGGTACCCTCAATATACTTGTAGCACCTCCCTTGACCACAGAAATCCCACCACAGTATTTGGACTTAAAGGAGGTATTCAACAAGGTACAGTTGAAGGTATTACCACCACATAGACCCGACTGTGCCATACATTTGTTACCAGGCACTATGCCCCCTAATGGAGGAGTATATGCACTATCTCCCCAAGAAAATCTTTGTTTAGAAGAGTACATAAAGCATGCTCTCAGAAAGGGTCACATATGTAGATCCTCTTTACCTGCTGGGGCTGGGTTCTTCTTCGTCTCTAAAAAAGAAGGAGACCTACGCCCTTGTATAGACTATAGGGGTTTGAATAGAATAACAATAAAAAACGCCTATCCCATTCCCCTTATTTCTGAGTTATTCGATAGGTTGAAAGGGGCCCGATTCTTCACTAAGCTCGACCTCAGAAGTGCTTACAACCTAATCAGAATTGAAGAAGGGCACGAGTGGATGACCGCGTTTAATACGAGAATGGGACATTACAAATACCTACTTATGGCGTTTGGGCTGTGCAACGTCCCAGCGGTGTTTCAGGATTTCATTAACGATGTCCTTAGAGAATATCTCCACATGTTCGTTTTAGTGTATCTAGATGACATTCTCATCTATTCCCCGGATTTAGAGACACATCACTAACATGTGAGAACAGTACTAAAAACCCTGTTAAAGAACGGCCTCTACTGTAAGCTGGAGAAATGCCAATTTGACCAGACTGATATACAATTTCTTGGGTATGTAATATCTCCGTCTGGTTTCAAAATGGACCCACGCAAATTGGAAGCAGTCTTACAATGGCCATTACCCAAAGGCCTTAAAGCTACACAATACTTTATAGGTTTTGCGAATTATTACCATTAAAGGTTTTTCCTCTGTAATCTCTCCTATTACCAACCTAACCAAAAAAGGAGCAAATTGCAATTCATGGCCCAAGGAAGCAAAGGAGGCATTTGAGCAATTAAAATCTTTATTTGCCTCAGCACCTGTCCTGACACATCCCTATCCAACCAAACCATTTATTCTAGAAGTAGATGCGTCTGAAACAGGAGTAGGAGCCATTCTGTCTCAAAGAGAAAGTCCTGATACGCCTTTCACATCCATGTTGGTTTTTCTCTCGAAAACTAACATCTGCAGAGAAAAATTATGACATTAGGAATAGGGAGTTATTGGCCTTTGTACCTGCCCTTAACCCCTTAAGGACCAATCTTCTGGAATAAAAGGGAATCATGACATGTCAGACATGTCATGTGTCCTTAAGGGGTTAAGGACACATGACATGTCTGACATGTCATGATTCCATGTTATACCAGAAGCTTGGTCCTTAAGGGGTTAAAGAATAGAGGCATCTCTGAGAAGGTTCCAAAGAGCCACTTCTGATTTTTACCGATCATAAGAATTTGGCTAATATTGGGGTCGCTAAGAGATTGTCCTCTCATCAGGCTAGATGGCCATAATTCCTCTCCCGATTCAATTTTGTAATTACGTACAGGCCCAGGACCAAGAACACCAAGGCAGATGCGCTGTCTCGGCAGTTTGAGACAGATGAGGTTCCTGAACAAGAGATATTCCCTATCATACCTCCAGAATGCCTTATTGCCACTACAATTTCCGAAGTGTCTTCTCCACTCTTCTATGCCATAATAGCAGATCAAACTCAGGCACCCGTGGAGAGACCTCTGGATAAACTGTATGTTTAACCACCTTTAAGGAAAAAGGTACTTGGATTATTCCATGATAATTTGACAGCAGGTCATCCTGGAGTCCATAAAACTATCTATGCTATCTCCAGGAGGTTCTGGTGGCCTACACTTAGGAACGACTGGCACGACCTCGCCGATATTGCGAGCTTACCTGGGCCGGGAGCCGGGAAGCTCTCCTCCGTGACTTCTGGGCGTTGCGCCCAAATCATAGATGGCGCTGACCATGTGGTCGTGCACACCACGAGCTCCGCCCCTCAAATTTATACGGACATGCGCGTGACGTCACAATGTCAACGCACACGCATGTTCTGGGGTCAGAGGTCACTCTCTGACCAATCAGAGACCAGAGTGGGATATTTAAATCCCTAATTCACTCCAGTTCCTTGCCCTGTCGTGGTTTCTTGTTCCTGGTTCCCGAGACTGCGTTTATCTTTGTGAATATTACTTCCTGGTATCCTGATCTTGGCTTTTCCCTGGTTATTCTGAATTCTGGTTCCTCTGACTTGGCTTGTTTCAACGGTATCTGAGTATGGCTGCCTTCATTGACCTTCGGCTTTCTCTTTGACCATTCTCTATCTCTAGCGTATTAGTCCGGTCATTCTAAGGTCCGGTTTACTCTCTGTCCTTTTATTTCCTTTCCTTTTTTATGTATATGTTTACATAGTATCTGCGTGTTGGACCACACTAGCAGCCGTGACAAGTGTTCTTGCCTCCACCAGTAGTCTACAACTGGAGTGGCTTGAGTAACTGTGGATAGATTGGATTGTGGTTCACTCACTCTACAGCAAGGGCAGAGAAGAGCTATCAAATCTTTCAAATCCCTCGAACATTCTACCAACTGCCAACAGGAACTAATAGATTTCAAATTAGGCAGAGAAGAGCGGTTAAAAACAAACTGCATCACTACACTGGTGGTTGCAATCTTCAAATGGTCGTATTTTATAAATCCTACAGCAAAGAGCTTTATATTGTGAGAATCACAAGACCCAGACCTACATTTTGATGTATAGTATGTCTCTGAAATATTAAAAATGAAGGCACAGTCACAGTTTAGATATTGCCCTTCAAATGTGAGGTGGCTAGGGGTCTCAGGGGTTAAACTAGAACAAAATAATATTTGGGTTCACCAACCTAGTGCCTTTGTCAGATCTCTGGACTCCACACTCGGTTAGCATGTGGTTTCCATTCCTTCTAAAAATAAACAAAACTCTCTCTCTTTTCCGCACTCCCAGTGCTCCAAGCCAGCCTTGACTGCTTTCCTTTTGCACTCCCAGTGCTCAGTCTCCTTGACACTCTCACTGGAGAGAGCAGCCTCTCTCCAACCTGCTTCCAAGGAGGAAACCAGCATAGCAGGGAAGGGTTTATTCTCACTGCTACAGCTGATTATCTGCAGCTGAGCAGTGGGTTGGAGACCGTTCCAAAGAAACCTCTGGCCTGGACCTTATTTCTCCCAGTTGTGTATAAACTGAGGAGTGGAGCATTGGCCCACCCTGCTCTCCAAATGCTCCACCCCAGGGGCCCATAACTAAACCTAGCTTTGTGTTGCACACCACACATACAACACGTACTTCCCCTGGGGTTAAATGTTAAAGGCCTCTCTACCTTCACTTTATCACAATACTTTAATGATAAAAGAAATAAAATGCTACACAATGCGTTTCACCAATAAAAAGATGTTTTAAGTGTAAACATGTGGTGCATGAATTCTCACCAAAACAAATCTTGAAAAGAGAATCGCTAGGACTCAAAAGCTGACTAGAGAAATTTGTATTAAGAAGCATCCCTGCACCATAAGCAGAGACACTTGGGAGTACAGCCTTTGTCACCTTTAGATTACATTGCCCCCACTCCATGGAAACCATATTCAACCTGTCTGATAACGCCCCTTTCTAACCACACACAAAGCAGCACGCTGCTGCCTCCTGCCTTCACAAACTATTTTCTTCACATATTTAAAGAATTGGTGTAATCAATGTTTGTGTACAGCTCAGTGTGCCTTTATTTTACCATTCCACAGTAAGAGGCACTTGTCCTGAGTACTCATACATTGCATTCACCCATTGCACTTAAGATACTGAATAGACTGGTAAAAGCTTGGAGATCTTTGTGGAGTACAATGTGGAAATTGAAAGTCACATCACTTATCATACTCTATTTATCTGCTGGTATGTATAACAGTATGAATATCATAGACATGCAAGCAGTTAACATATTAATGCTGTGTTTTCTATAATTAGATCCAGTCTGTGGGGATTCCGTAGAGCAGCCTCCTTCAGATACTGGAAGAGAACAAGCACACAAGACGCTCACTTGTACCTACACGTCCTCCTACTCTGATAACTGTTGTTATTGGTATAGAAAATATCCCTCTTCTGCTATGCAGTATCTTATTTATTCTTGTGGAGGTGATAGAGCAAGTGGGAGATTCAGAACAAATGCTGATCCCTCCAGAACCAGCTTAACTATCCCTAAACTGGAGCTGAATGATGCAGCTGTTTATTACTGTGCAGTTGCTAATGAGCACTCTAATAACATCCTCAGCATAGCCTTACAAAATCGTATCTAATACAGGAGGCAATGAAATAAAATTCACTGCCATTCATTGTTTTATTCAGTGTTTTATTATTGATTTTTAATTCTTTGAATTCAGACAGAATGTTTAATAAGAGCTAAATAATGTGAGCAAGCAACATAACTCGATAAATCATTTTCAGGCATATTTAATAGTACCCTTTTTAAAAAATCATGTTTATTTTATTATTTATAGGATTTTTTACCAGGAAGCACACTTTCAGATTCCCCCCTTACCCCTTTTTATTATTTTTTTAAGTATGATAAGAATCACCATGCACATATTCCGTTGCTGTTGAAATTCTGTCTAAGTTATCCCACATTTTGTTTACAGCTTTAAAATAACAATATCATTATCTTAATTTTGTTAGCATGGTTTGTTCAGAATAAATGTACCAGCCCCACACATTTAATCATAATCTTACACTGATGCAGGACTTGTTTTTAACAATTTTAAGTTTTACCAGTACACTGCTTACAGTGAAAATGGTTGTCTCTAATGAAATTGATTAGGGATTATTTCCATACTGCAAAATCTTATCAGTTGTGATATCATGGCTGACAGTCTTAATACCTGACCCTATGCCTCTCAACAATGACAGTTCCAATTTTGGTGGGACAGTCACGATTTTCAAGACCTGTCTCCTTCTTTACTTCCCTCCCACCAGCATCTTGATTCAGGACTCTGGAGTTGGGAGGTGTCTCACTCTCTTAAAAAGAGTATAGTAGGAGGGAAAATTCCAAGAATATGAACAAACTCCTTAGCAGCATTTTGCGTAACAAAAGGGTGGATGCAGGCCATGCTTTTAAGGTGTAACTGTCAAGGTTTGGTGACAGACAAAATATGGGGTGTAAAGGTGAGGTCAAAATCACAGATAAAATAAAAGAGAAAAGATTGCAAGGTTTGGCTTATGGGTGTGCCATCAACAAGCAGGAAGCAGTGGCGTACATACCGGGGTCGCAGGGGTCGCGTCTGCTACCGGGCCCTGCCCACCAGGGGGCCCGGCCGCCCTGCGAGCTGGAATGTACCCACTGTGGCTAGCCTCTTCTCCTGGGGGGCCCTCCTCAGGCTCCCCCCAAGGCTGGCCCTGGTAACACCCAGCGGGCAGGCTGGCGGACGCGCGAGGGAGCACTCTCCCCTGAGTGCTTTCTCTTCAGCTCCCTCACGCACCTCACTGATACCGGAGCCAGAAGACGACTTCATATTCCGGCTCCGGCATCAGTATGCGGCGCGCGAGGGAGCTGAAGAGGAAGCATTTAAGGGAGAGTGCTCCCTCGCGCGCCCGCCAGCCAGCCTGCCCGCCGGGTGACACCACTGGACCCCAGGGAATTCCCTCAGCTCTCCCACAGGTGTGTGTGTGCGTGTTAGAGTGTGTGTGTGTGTTAAAGTGTGTGTTAATGATAGAATGTGTGTGTGTTATAGTGTGTGTTAGTGGTAGAGTGTGTGTGTGTTAGCGTGGGTGTGTTAGAGTGTGTGTGTGTGTTCGTGTTAGAGTGTGTGTGTGTTTGTTAGTGTTAGAGTGTGTCAGTGAGTGTGTTACTGTGTGTGTCTGTGAGTGTGTTACTGTGTGTGTCTGTCACTGAGTGTGTTAGTTTGTGTGCGTCTGTTAGTGAGTGTGTGTTTTGTAAGTGAGTGTGTGTCTGTCTCAGTGAGTGTGTATGTATGTCTGTCACTGAGTGTGTGTCTGTCAGTAAATGTGTGTGTCTGTTAGCTAGTGTGTATGCGTCTGTTCGTGAGAGTGTGTGTGTGTGTCTTAAGCACTTACCTTTCTCCAGCACCAGACTCCCTAGGTGCTGGGGATCTCTCCGCCCCGATCCGCCTCTCAGCTCCGAATGCGCATGCGTGGCAAGAGCCGCGCGCGCATTCAAACCGCCCATAGGAAAGCATTACTCAATGCTTTCCTATGGACGTTCAGCGTCTTCTCACTGTGATTTTCATAGTGAAAATCAAGGAAGCTCCTCTAGCATCTGTCAATGAGACAGCCACTAGAGGCTGGATTAACCCTCAGCTGCAGGGTTAAAACTAGAGGGACCTGGCACCCAGACCACTTCATTGAGCTGATGTGATCTGGGTGTCTGTAGTGGTCCTTTAAGTGTATCTGCATGCACTGGCGTACATACTGTGGTCGCAGCCCTGCGACCTCTGCGACCAGGTGCCCGCCATCATGTGCTGCAGCCCCAGCCTGCACAGAGTAAGCGCACAGGGGGAAAGGGGGGCCCACAGATCAGTTTTCGCACCGTGGCCCCATGGGTTGTGTGTACGCCACTGGCAGGGAGAGTGATAACAGGGGATTCGTTTTTAATAAGAAAGACAGATTGAGTAAAGGAGGTGTTACCAGAAAAAAGATCTTAAAGGATTATTCTGTAGCAGTACTTACCCACCCTGCGTGCTGGCTTTTTTTTATTCATAGGATACAAAGTTACTATACACTCATGGTGGCAAGGATGTGTTGCTACTAACTAGCTTCTGCACAGTGTTACATAGGCCGAGGGTGTGGAAAGTTTGAAGGAGAAAAGCGTAATCAGCAGGATCAAAAGCAACAAAAAAGGGTCTAGAAGAATTAGTATGGAGTAGCCATGACCAGATTCTAGTTAGTTTAGTCTGAGTAGTATAGATGGAAAGTTAGCATTTAGAAAATGGTTCAGATGGATAAAGACAAGTCATTCCAGAAGATTTCAGGAAAAAATACAAAACAATATGGGACAGTAGTTTGTTGCAGTAGTTTGGCCAAGAGATGGCTTTTTAGGATAGAAGTGACAGTAGCATGTTTAAGGGAGGTGAACATGACACCAGAAGATGGGAAGAAGAAGAAAAAGAAGAAGGCAATCAAAGAAGTGTGCTAAGGGAGAGAGATCTTATAAGGTGCAAGGGAATGGGATTAGATGGAGTGAGAGAAAAGAAATGCAGACACTTTCCCAGGCAAAGTCCTGAAGGATGTGAGAAGCATAATCAGGTTGAGGGGGAGAGGAGTAAAGGGAACATGTGATTATTCTTGTCAGTGATTGTTATGTGATTATTCTTGTCAGTGATTATTCTTTATGTGATTATTCTTGTCAGTAAAAGAGCTTGTAAAGTTGTTAGGTGTATGGTTAGTATAAGGAGTGGTAATGGAAGAGAGATGTAATTAGATGAAGGTATCAGACAGATACTCAGGATTTGAGAGTAGTATGTTATTAAAGTAAGAAAAGTACTTTGTTTAGAAAGTTAGAAGGTTCTGCTGAACAAATATAACATGAATGTATATCAGAAGAAGCCAGATATGGTGCAAGACTTCCTCCAATGGAGGTCAGTTTAGTGCATTGATGGCTAACCTTGACACCATAAATTATTTCTGGATTACATTTCCCATGATGCTCAACTTGCTTTTAGAATCTAAAAGCTAGCTGAGCATCATGGAAAATGTAGACCGGAAACAATTTATGGTGTCAAGGTTAGCCATCACTGCACTTAGAGTTTTTGATGAACTCTGGAATCCTTGTCTATTTTGTATTAAATTAAGATTCACTGCTGGTTTGCACTAGTTATCTTCTCCTAGAACATCAATACTTTTTTACCAAAACATACCCATGCATACATTTAGTCCAAATCAAAGTTGAAAGAACCAGAGTGTAGAATAGTCTACATCGAGGATAAGTCAGGGAACCAGAGAGCAGAATTATCAAAACATAAGACAAAGCCAAGCGCTTACATAATTATTTGCATAAGTGAGAATCCAAAGTGAATACAAAGTGAATTTCAAATGTAAGGCCAGAGTGACCAAACTGAATGAACTTTTGACTTTGAGAATGTTTCCAATTCAGCTATTTTGACTTTCAATTTGAAATTCACTTTAAATCCTCACTTTAGAGAATAACCATGTAAAATCATATGTGTAACTACCTATGGTAAAGTGATTTGTTACCCGAGAGTCAAACTGGAAAATTTGTATACACATAATCATACAGGTGCACATTGCTAGATGAGAAGGTTTATACAGGTTTGTTACTTCGTGTTTTAATGTTGTCATGCTCTGCTGTGCATACATTCTCACCAAAACAATCTTGGAAAGAGAGACACTAGATTGCAAGAAAGAGATATAGAGAATTGTATCTAGAAGTTTTTCTGCACCTTATAAAGTGGGAGACTTGGGAGTATGCTTCTTAGATACCTCAAGATTACATTGACCCCACCTCACGCAAACCATTTTCAGCCAATTTGTTAGATACAACACCTCTTTTTTTCATTGTGTAAAGTTGTTACTGAAAGATTTATATAGTGAACAACAAAGTTCACTCAACATGCACAAGATGACTCTGTAATTAACGGCATAAACAATAAACACCTCTTTTTACCACACACCAAAAAAAATACACTGCTGCTTCCTTCCTTGAAAGATAATTTCTTCCTCCTATTTAAATAAGTGGTGTAAATAAGGTTTGTGTGCAGCCCAGAGAGTCTATATTTTACCATTCCACAGTAGGAGGCAACTATCTGAGCAATCATTCATTACAACAACCCATTTTACGCAAAGATACTGAAAAGTTGGTGTAAGCTTGGAGATCTTGACAGGGTACAATGTGGAAATTCAAAGTCACATCGCTCATCATACTCTATTTTTCTCCTGGTATGTATAACAGTGTGAATATCATAGACATGTATGGAGATATAGTAATGCTGTATTTCTTTTCATTAGATCCAGTCTGTGGGGATTCCGTTGAACAAACTCCTTCAGATACTGGAATGGAAAAAGCAGACAAGATGCTCACTTGTAGCTACAAATCCTCCAACACTTATAACTGCTGTTTGTGGTACAGAAAATATCCTTCCTCTGCTATGCAGTTTCTTGTTATTACTTGTTCAGACAGTAATATAATTGGGAGATTCAGTATATATTTGAGTTCCTCCAGTTGCACATTAACCATCCCCAAGCTGGAATTGA